AATGCGTTTGTACGGATTAATTATTATGGAAGGGTATATTCTTTACCTGTCCAAATGTATACGCTGCCGCCACTTGGGCAGCTGCAGCTATGATAGTGATGACTATCGTCCTAGAATCATATCCGTATAATTTCTCAATTTCGGGATGTTTCTTGAGGATGGTGACTCTTCGCTTGAGGTGCGGTTCATCTAAATCGTCGGTGGCAATGTCTTTGTCTACATATGGTACTGACTTTTTCCATTCACCTATGTATAGGGGATGGCGGTAGTCTGGATTTCCCTCCTCTCTCGCGGGCAGAGGCACGTCCTTAGAAATTTCAGTATATGGTGGCATCTTCAGTACTACCGCGCCGTAGTCTGTTACTGACTTGTTTACGATTAAATATATTCGATTAAAGGTCGGCCAACACGAGGGCAAATTTCCTGGCCATCTTGCAAAATATATATTTTTTTGTGTTCGCCCTCACAAAAATTTTGATAGATTAATTTTTTTTTGCTGATTATCTTCCCACGAAAATGTTTGTTCTCAATGCGCGATCGAAGCCAAGTGGAAAAACGGGAACAGTTCGGTGGTTATGTACATTATCAAAAAAAGGCAGGCAGCTGATCTATAAATTAGGAGACTTGAACATTGAAGGCAAAGGTGAATTTCCAAACAAGTGGCATATCCCACAAGCCATACCGCTTAAAGAATGGATTAATAGAACCCGTAACATTGATGAAAACGAAGTCAGTAGGTATAACAATTGAATTATCTTTTAGTTACGCTGTTTGGTCTCCATAACGCACGTAAATTGTATGTAGGAACTTGAATTTACACATGCTGCAGTCGGTTGGGCCCATGCGCTTGTTGCCTTCAAAGACAGACAATCGAATAATTCGCAAATCTTCTCATGGGGATTAAATACGTCAGGACAATTAGGTAAAGAATATACCCTTCCATAATAATTAATCCGTACAAACGCATTCCCTAATAATTAATCGCACAAATTTTTACATAAATCAGGTTTTGATGTAACGACAGGAAATCACGGCTTTGTGCAAAATCTTCCATCTAGTTTCTTGGTCAATTCTCTTCACTGTGGAAGAATCCATTCGCTTATCTCA